CTGATCTTGTGTCTGCTATAGAGTCTGATGTAAAATGACCACGCATATTGGTCAATAGTTGGCCTGTTTCTGTTTGTTGAGATAGTATTGCTATTTTACGGCGGCTTATAAAATATTCGAGACCAGACAATCCAGTGATTGATATTATGAGCAACGCCAGCAGGGTACGATGGCACGAAATCTATCAAGTCCCCGAGCTTGACTACCCGATCTATTAAGTCGTGTAATACGACCAGCATGTAGATAGCTGGGGGCCATTCAACCCAGAATGTCATTGGGTTTTGTTTTTTTTGTTATATCTTCACAGGGATCAGAAGGAATTGTTGGAAAACACAAACAAAAGTCTTTCATAATCAATCATAAAATTAATATTAGTACAATATTTCAAAATAATGATAAGGAGGGCCCAGAATCATTCCCTTTATAGCACGTGAATTCATATTTCAATTGGTTGGTCTGGTATATGCAGTATCCAATATGCAATCTGGTATAATACAGTGTATTTGTACATGCATGTACGTGGGAATCAAACATGAAACATCATTTCCATTAATAAACGTGCATGCAACTTGTGCTTTCTTTTATCGTAATAAAACATAATCATTGTTGTTTTCCAACTTCTAATTTCCACTGTCAATATAATAAAAATAATATGAAGTGTTCCGTCTCGAAACGTTGTCCGTTTGAAAAGATAAAGTGCGATTTCACTCGGTGATAAGTAAAGGACGAGTTACCTCCCTTCCTTAAGCAAACCCAACACGTTGATGTTTTCAACTCCCACTGACTCTGAAGAATAACATTGATTATCAGATAGACCGTCCTTCAACGGTGGACAACCGTATGGTGGAAGTACACGTGACGGCCGAGAGACTCATTGTATGTGTGTTATTCTTTACGCACGCTGTCAACACCGCAACCAACATGGTCAGTATTCACCATTTATCGGAGTTGTAACGGGGTCAAAGTTGACTTCATTTGTCGTATTCGATCGCATGCATAGCTACGACTGGGAACAGGTGTTCTGTGCGAGCATACGTAATTGGTCCCTTATGTATTAACCAATGTACTGGACATATCGGGGTTTGATTACACATATAGAAAACAATTACATCTTCAAGTGAACTGATATTACCGTATTTACTCAATTGGATGCCATGGCGTCTATTAACTTCGCGCTGGTCTTTGGCCCGTCGTCTACTCTGTTTAATGCTGGCACCAGGCAACTCTCTACCTTACTGAATCACAAATTCTCAAGTCGCACAAAGGGTGCATATGCAGAAAACGGTAAGTATAAAAAACAACAACATATGAATGTATAAAAGTATATCAGAGACCCGGCGTCTGTTTTGTGGGACATGCCCCGGATGTCAGTGAGAGCCCGGCGTGTACTAGAGACTCAGCTTCGAATATAGGAAATACTGTATGTCGTGGAAGGTATATGTCCGACGACGGCGATGCGTCATCACGGCAGCCAAATTATACAAAACACATGTTTATGATGAATACTCAGTCGTCTATTCTCAAAATGTAAATTCGAAATTCTGACTTGAATATTTGAATATTGACCTAGATTTGACACAGCACACTAGGCTCTGTAAACATCTTTTCCAATGAAATTCCCTTGCGTGTTTTTTCTTCTAAAAAAGACAAAGTTGTTAGTTATTATTTATTTTTGTATTTTGTTGAAAATAGCTTTATAAATTAAATTCAGAAATAAATGTTCACATTGTAATTCTAATCTGGGACATTATGACCAGTGAAATAGGTATCCACGTTACCGACACATATATACGTTACTACTGATAACATATGGGTAGATAAGCTTGGCACAATTAGATAGAATCTGGGCTGCCTACTGGCAAGTCAGGGAAGTTCTCCAAGTTGGAGCAGGAGACAAGGAAGTGGTAGAAATGGGTTAGAATAGGTCTTCAGCAACCCATGCTTGCCGAAAAAGGCGACTAACGGGATCTGGTGGTCAGGCTCGCTGACTTTGGTTGATGCATGAGCTCGTATCCCAATTGCGTGTATAGATGCTTATGATGTCAATCACAGAATTGTCTCATCCAGGCTCGATTATTTACAGACCGCCGTCATATAGCTGGAATATTGCTGATTGTGGCGTGAAACAACAAAGAAAGAAACAAACAAACAAAAGAAATGCCCATGCGAGATATGTGACGAACATCTGATACATATGTTACAGAATCCGGAAATGATGTTCGATGTCAGGGACTAAAAACGTAATGATGTTAATGCTGTTACAATATGTATTTATCATATGAAAAGATTTAATACTTTAATTGTTACATAGTTACATAACACTTAACTTTATTCTATTCTACGTCCCTGTCCCCCCAGTCTTCCTATTGTACATATCGTATTTGAATGTTGTAAATAACATGGAGAGGGCGTTACAAGGTGAACAGCTTCAGTCAATCCATATCACTTTAATGAAAAGTATGTTGAAAACAAAACCGATTCGATGCAAAACAACCTTCACTCACTCACAACGATGTAGTCACGGCAGCTGGGAGCGGGTCGACTGTTAGGAGGAGGGGCAGAGAGAAATAAGACGCTTGTCAGTGTTCTGGCGCCATTTCGGGTGTTTTTTAACCCAACAATCCTCAGCGAAAAAGAGGCTTTATATCCCTTTATAAAATGCACGCCAAAACAAATCACGAGATAATTTTAAATAACTTTGTTCAGAAATATAATACTTATTTCTGAGTGCTTGCCCGTTGCATTTCTTAATATGAGGAATAGTTGCAATACGGAAATTAAAATGTTGTATTATTAAAATCGAAAGCGTGAATAGAAATATAACGACAGACATACATTTGGATGAACTGTGGTATATACTGACGGTGATCTTGGTAAACGTACAAATATTGTCAAATTCCCAATGAATTCTGCCCGAGATAAACCTGTTAAAAAAAAAACTACCGTCATAAACATCAGCACTATGTTGGAGGCGCATTAATTTCAATATTTACAGATATGTAAAATACACATGTGTCCAATGCATTATTTCTCTACCGGCATCATTGACTATATATATCAAATGCAAACACGTGTCCAATGCATTATTTCTCTACCGGCATCATTGACTATATATATCGAATGCAAACACGTGTCCAATGCATTATCTCTCTACCGGCATCAATGACTATATATATCGAATGCAAACACGTGTCCAATGCATTATCTCTCTAGCGGCATCATTGGATATATATCAAATGCAAACACGTGTCCAATGCATGATCTCTCTACCGGCACCATTGGATATATATCAAATGCAAACACGTGTCCAATGCATTATCTCTCTACCGGCATCATTGGATATATATCTAATGCAAACACGTGTCCAATGCATTATCTCTCTAGCGGCATCATTGGATATATATCAAATGCAAACACGTGTCCAATGCATTATCTCTCTACCGGCACCATTGGATATATATCAAATGCAAACACGTGTCCAATGCATTATCTCTCTACCGGCATCATTGGATATATATCTAATGCAAACACGTGTCCAATGCATTATCTCTCTACCGGCATCGTTTGATATATATCAAATGCAAACACGTGTCCAATGCATTATTTCTCTACCGGCATCATTGACTATATATATCAAATGCAAACACGTGTCCAATGCATTATCTCTCTACCGGCACCATTGGATATATTTTAAATGCAAACACGTGTCCAATGCATTATCTCTCTACCGGCATCATTAGATATATATCTAATACAAACACGTGTCCAATGCATTATGTCTCTGCGGGCATCATTGGATATATATCTAATGCAAACACGTGTCCAATGCATTATCTCTCTACCAGCATCATTGGATATATATCTAATGCAAACACGTGTCCAATGCATTATCTCTCTAGCGGCATCATTGGATAATATCTAATGCAAACACGTGTCCAATGCATTATCTCTCTACCGGCATCATTGGATTTATATCTAATGCAAACACGTGTTCAATGCATTATCTCTCTACCGGCATCATTGGATATATATCTAATGCAAACACGTGTCCAGTGCATTGTCTCTGCGGGCATCATTGGATATATATCAAATGCAAACACGTGTCCAATGCATTATCTCTCTACCAGTATCATTGGATATATATCTAATGCAAACACGTGTCCAATGCATTATCTCTCTAGCGGCATCATTGGATATATATCTAATGCAAACACGTGTCCAATGCATTATCTCTCTACCAGCATCATTGGATATATATCTAATGCAAACACGTGTCCAATGCATTATCTCTCTACCGGCATCATTGGATATTGATCTAATGCAAACACGTGTCCAATGCATTATCTCTCTACCGGCATCATTGGATATATATCAAATGCAAACACGTGTCCAATGCATTATCTCTCTACCAGCATCATTGGATATATATCTAATGCAAATACGTGTCCAATGCATTGTCTCTGCCGGCATCATTGGATATATATCTTATGCAAACACGTGTCCAATGCATTATCTCTCTACCGGCATCATTGGATATATCAAATGCAAACACGTGTCCAATCCAGTGATTGACGTCATTAGCATCTATCCACGCAATTTGGATACGATGACATCAATAAAGTCCGCGAACCTGACCACCCGATCACGTTAGTCAGCTCTCATCACAAGCAAAGTCGCCTTTTACGGCAAGCATATGTTGACCTATTCTAACCCGGATCTTCACGGGTCAATACCAGTTGAAGGTGGTGCAACAATGTCAGTTCACGAACATATGTAGGACATGGTGTGAATATTTCTTGCCACATCGTAATACATCACTCACTGATCATGTCGCTCCGTAATTCTCCCCACAACATGTGAGGATGTTCATTTGAAGCAGAAACAATGAGACAGGACATGTGTGATCGCCATCCTTTCCATTATTGAATAATTGCAATTTCCAAGTAAACGCTCCTTACTTTCACTTTTTATTCCCATCCTGGAGTGCACGGCATGACACACTGATACATATGCCAGCTGATGTGCATACTGTCGGAGTTTACAGTCCGTGGTTCACTGCAATGCTTCGGTGCAGGACACTGTTCACACACATGGCAAAACAGGTAAGACAGGTGTGCACTGATGATAAGACAATATTTTCTTGGTCAATAGGCCAAAACGCAGGCGTCAAAACGACAACAAAGAATATTTTTTGTATTATATGCTACGGTTAGAAAATAAGACCCCGGCAACCCATGCTTGTCTTAAGAAGCGTCCTAATGGATCGAGTAGGGGACTCAGTGAATTATATGTCTCGTAAATGATGACAGGTATAGACAATATACATGAGCTGTGGTTTATTCTGATGGTGATATTTGTCCGTAATGAATTCTGCCAGCGGCAATGTTGTCGTCGGTCTTTGCACTGATAAAATATGTTGCCTCCATGAGGTGTATTTCATCAGTTCTTACTAAAACTCAGGTTCTGAACCACACACTGTTGCATCCATGTTTACTTCATTCCAGCAGTCAAATGCATCTACAGCTATTGGTCTATTAAATTCAACATTGCGCAATACGTTATAGGATAAATGTACGTTTACCGTTTTTCCTGTAATAGGCCTCCTCAGAGATAACTTCATAGAATTGCGTATATATTTCTAGTCTTACCCCAATTTTTTGTAAAAGTGTTGCTCTATAAGAACGTGGGGACCCGGGTTAAACAGTTCCCGACAATATCGCTTCTTGAAAGAGGCGACTAAATGGCCGGATGGTCGGGATGTATTGCATGTTATCGTACTCATAACATCAATCACTTGATTTTCCTGTTTCTGTACTCGATTATTTACACAACGCTGTGTTAAAGCTAGAGTATTGTTGACTTCAGCGTAAGACAAGATTCAACCAAAATATGTACATGCTGATGTAATAAAGGTGTTTGAAGTTCACCCGGTACATGTTCCCTTTGACAAAGGGCAGTTACTCTAGCGGACAGACCGATGGATTGCCCCGAAATGCAAGTAAAAACAATTGTTGTTTTGCGTATATGTTGCTTCGCCACTGTATAAGAAACAGATTTCAGTTGGAACTATATTGGCCACTGTCACTGTCCGACTGACACATCACTTACCCTGTGACGTAATAAATATTAATGCGCGCATTCCAGGAAAACTCGCAATGTTTAGATAATGTTTGTGAGAGAGGGAAAGCGATTTTAAAGCACAGAATTATAGAATGTCATTATATGATAAAGAGGTCATCACGCTTATGTGTTTAGGGATGGTAAATATCCTGTATTGGGAATAAACACTATGTTATTTAGCTCGCCAAGGTTCGCTAAATACAATGTTTGTTCCTAATGCAGGATATTTACCATGGCCAAACACACTCGCGTGATAACCTCTATTTACCCGTAAAGATCCATTTGCGTAAATCGATGGTCATGATGTCAGTCATAAGATTATCCAGACCGTCCAAAAACTTTCTCTCTGTAGATTTCTATCGTGTTTTAAGCAAGAACTGAAATACCACACATCCTTTGAATATCGTAGTAACCGCAACTTTGCATTTTGTAGCCTGTAATTATTGATATAAATATTTAAATATGCGTACTGACAGTGGCTGAAAAAAGTACTATTCTATGGATATTAGTTGATGATGCGGCCGTCAAACCAGCTGTTTGAATCAGAGGGGGTTCATTGTGATTTCATAGCCTCTGATTCGAGTAAGTTCCAAATTCATGGTAGAATGAACCTGTGGCGATTACAAGTGCTGGTCATTATTGATCAATTAGCCGATCATGTAAAGGTGATTATAATCATGTGTGAAATAGATAAAGATAAATACCCCGATTGTTGTAGACTGTCACGGTCAGTCGAGGCACGGGTCGAGTCGATAGTTTGACTGTGTATTTCTTCGTTTCGTTCACATGGATGGGTCGTAACAAGGGTATTTGTGAATGGGCATGCTGTGAAACTCCCTTACTCCCTTATGTATGCTAAAAGGCTAAGTTCAAGATTAAGGTGTCTAAATGATCTTCTGCATTTAATCAGAATGCTAGGGGATTTTCAGGGGTATCCCCAGGATTGTGGAAGTAGTCCGTCAGTCCGTCAAGAAAAAACGTGAAAATTGTCAAAATGTTTCGCGGTCATTAGACCGGCACCTTGTCATATGGAAAAGCTGTATATCGCATAAACTTCAAATTAAAAAAAATGTATTCATATCTGTTTCCGTGTATGTTTAACACACATTAACACAGAGGTTAACAGTGTATGCCATTACCCGACCTACTCAAACTTCACTGGTGATTGCATCCTGCTAACATAGTTTCCATTGTGACGTCCGCCATTTTGTTGTGTAGAATTTACCTCACTAATTGTAAATACAGCATACAACTTAGAGCAGTGGCGTCTCTCACCACAAGTGTGAGACACTTGAGACACCATCTTGACCCGAAACAAACGAGGAACGAGTAGTTAAAACAGGAGACCAAGAACAAATGAAAATGGAGACCAACAGTAGTTAGTATCGGGCCCCAAATGTTTTTAAGATAGAGGACCAATGGTAGTCAGAGCAGGTGTCCAAAGGTATCTAAGACCAGGGACGAAACGTTGCTGGAGTCGGGTACCAAAGCCGATGATAAAGAATAACCGGAAACCAAAGTTCTCGGGTAGGAATCAAGTTGTCAATAATATGTATTATTTCAGATGATGCGAGCAGCTCAGTTTGAAAAGGGCGGCCCCGAGAATCTGTACGTAGCAGAGGTAGCCAGGCCTGTTCTTGGGGAGGGTCAGGTGCTTATCAGGGTGCATGCTACCGCCATCAACAGGGCCGATACCTTGCAGGTAAGTGGCAGCAATGGCTGGTATGGGGTGATCTCGAATTACTCTGTAGCAACTCAAAACTTGTATATGTGTTCCATAAATGGCCTAAATCATATAAATATCGATTTTAGGTCCTCGTCGTGGAGGTATAAGGGCTACCTTTAAATATGAGGGTTGACTGAGTCTCATTTTGACATACTTGACCTAAGGACATCAAAATTATATATTTTCAAATGATGTTGGGTGGGTTTTACACCAGTTTCGTAGAAGCCCTTCCCTCCACTGCTACTATACGTTGTTCTAGTAGAACAGAGTTCCGTCATGAGTTGTTTTCATATCTGGGAAGAGATGGAAGTCTGACAAACCCTGATGACGAGAATACGGTAGGTGCTGAAGGCGTTCAAAGCAACACCCGTGGATTGTAACCCTGGCAATGACTGATGTGCACTGAAGCGTTGTCCCGATGGAAAGGTGCTTTGATGAAAGAGCTCTCTTTTTCTCAACTTCACACGTCTCTTAATCTTTGTTTTATCCTGTTAATTACCTAAAAAATGCAACATTATATGCTCTGCCTTTGTCCGACCTTTTCAAGATAGTCCACCATGATGTCACCCTCAGAAGCCAAGGATGTCATAACCATTGCTGTTGATGATTCTTTCTTTGCCATCTTTGGTGGTGGTAATGTCAAATGCTTCTGCTGTTTTGATTGTTGTTTTGGACTCACGCTGTAAGTGGTGAACCCAGGTTTCATCCACAGTCACAAGTCTGTTGTGCCTGACCGTTCTGGGTCAGCTTCAAACAAAGTTGGATTAACACGAGTCATGTTGTGCCTGATCAGATGTCAGAGGCTTTGGAACCCAACAAGCATATACTTTCTTCAATGCCAACGTTTCTGTGATAATGGAATGTACTCTCTCCTGGGAAATGCCCACCGAACTAGCAATACTACGCTCAGCCATTAGCCGGTTGATCAGTACTGTATCGTGGATTCTCTGGATCATTTGGGGCGCGGGTGGCCCCGTCGTCTAAGGCGCCGCGATTCGCTGTGCAGAGTTGTGTCCCTTGGGCACGCCAGAAACCTACGATTGTGGGTTCGAATCCCGGTTCGCCCCGATTATGTTTCTAGGTTTGTCAGCACCATACCCGTGGTCGTGGATTTCACCGAAGTGGTAAACGTCTGAGACCTGCATCACTTCAGGCTTTCCTCCAACGTAAAGCTGACCCGCCGTGATATAACTAGAATACTGTGAAAGGCGGCATTAATCCCAACTCACTCACTCACTCACTCTGGATCATTTCTGGTGTGTCTTCTAGGACTGGGGTCATCTTCAAGGCTCTCCTTGCCAAGCTTAAACTCTGCTGCCCACTTCTGTACAGTGGCACAGAAAGGGTCTTACTTCCGTTGTGTTGTACACTTTTGTGGCTTTTTTGGCGTTATTAATCCTTTTTCTGCAAGAACTTGATCAATGCACGTTCGACAAGTTTGTCCATTTTCCAGAAGTCATAAACTCCTGCTTATTTTACTGACTTGTCGCAACAAAACAATTTTTTTCCAAATTGACTCAAATTTTCTTATGGATATACCTCTATGACAACATGTAATGTCCACAGCAAAAACTTTCACTATTCTTTTATGTGAGTCAAAGAACGTATCAATCAACCTTGTTGATTTTTTTAATAAGTTTTTTGCGTGGTTGTCCTGGGTCATAAGGGAATATGCTTTGAGGAAGAAGTAAACCAAATTTAAATTTTCATTGGAATATTTTCATTTAAGAATGTTTATATGACATACATGGTGCTTCAGAGGAAGGGTCTGTACCCACCCCCTCCAGGAGAGAGTGACATTTTGGGTCTAGAGGCCGCAGGCGTGGTGGAATCTTTTGGACCTGGATGTTCAGGGAAATGGAAGATTGGCGATAGAGTTATGTCCCTTTTGGCAGGTACGGTCTTGCTGGTAATTCAATCTGTATGATGGTACTCATTTGTGTGGATAGGAAACTACATTTCCTAATTGTCGAACACTAAATCAATTATTGATCTCCATTAATTTTAAATCATCTTTGTCTATTATGCCTTCATTTCATTGAAAATGGTGACAGCTGTCCCTGTCTAATAAGAATAAAGAATATAGAAGATTTCTGTCTGTCAGGTCGGGTAGAGCTTTCCAGACGCCAAGCTCACAATAGTTACATATACACTTAAATGCCACTTGATATTGTAAATAAAAAACATCACCATGAGAACAATCCATAACAATACACAATACAAGTCCTGTATTCAGGGGGAGGTAACTCGGAGTATGTGGCCAGTCCAGAGAAACTCCTCATGCCAATACCAGAAGGGATGGACTACATCAACGCTGCAGCTATACCAGAGGTGTGGCTGACCGCATACCAGCTGCTGCACTTTGTCGGTAAGTGGTTCTGATGTAGATGCACATGTTGGTGACAACATACCAGTTCCTTCACTGTATTGGTTGTTAGTTCTGATGTAGAAGTACATTTGTGTATGACAACATACCAATACGTGATGTAAGTTAGCACTTCTTTCTCCAACAGGCAAGGTCCAGACGGGGGAGACTGTGCTGATTCACGGAGGAGCAAGCGGAGTGGGGACAGCCGCCATTCAGTTGGTATCCCTGGCCGGTGCCAAGTCCATAGTAACAGCAGGATCGGAAAACAAGATCGCCACTGCCACGTCCCTTGGGGCCTCAATAGGTTTCAACTACAAGGAGGGGGACTTCAGCCAGAAGGTTCTGGATGCAACAAACGGTAGGACTATTTGCATTACAGTCTTGTATCGAGAATGTGTAATTATAAGTGATCTATCTCTGGTAACTTGTAACGTTTTAGAAAACTAGTAGCACCTAAATCAGTTAGAACCTGTCGACTGATGCTACCACAGAGGTGGATCAAGGATTGTTTAAAGGGGTGAATAACATGTAGGTGGGCTGTTCAAATTTTGAATTCTTAACTACAAGGAGAGGGATGTCAAAGCAGACAATCAGATGTGATAGATGGCTGTCCTCTGAGTAAGATAGAGAACTTGTGACACATCATTTTGGGGGCATTGTTGGAGTGGCAGTACCTTTATCTCCCAGTTGAGCAATATGATACTGTCACTGGTAGCCAATCTATTATTGACTTGTCACCTTGCAGGGAATCTAGGATTCTACTGCTACTACTACTACTACTACTACTACTACTACTGCTACTACTACTACTGCTACTGCTACTAACACATTTCATTCTACAAGTGGATGCTCATAGTGCTACATTATTAGAAATTTGTGAAAATCCGGCTAGAATTGGTCTTCAGAAACCCATGCTTGCTGTACAAGATGACTGTGCTTGTCTTAAGAAGCGACGAACAGGATCGGGTGGTCAGGCTCACTGACTTTGTGGATGCATGTCATTGTATCCCAACTGCGTGGATCAATGCTCATGATATCAATCACTGGATTGTCTGGTCCAGACAGATTATTTGCAGACTGCCATCATGTAGCTGAATATTGCTGAGTGCTGCATTTAACAACAGACAGACAAACAGACAAAAGAAATGGCCAGGTGAGACATGTGACAAGTTTCCGATACATACGTTACAGAATCCGGAAATAATATGCAAACATAAAAAAAACATTATTATTTCCCCAGTCAGTGAATTAGTGTGCAGTCGATTTTCATTCTCAGCTTCCTGGGGAGTATACAACTGACAGGGCTGTTAGTCAATATTCAGTCACCCACTGTTAAATTAGCTTTTCTATCTAATCATTGACTCACCGACTTATATCCATCCGTCTGTGCTGTGAGAAAGATCACACAAAGGTAATGGATTGATTACATATTACATGTCAATTACAACTCCAGCATCATTTTTAGCATGTGTTCTTCATCCCCAGGCAAGGGAGTTGACGTCATCCTGGACTGTGTGGGCGGGTCCTACTATGAACAGAACATGAATGTCATCGCAACTGATGGACGATGGGTGCTGTATGGACTGATGGGTATGGATGAAGAAATACGGAGTAACCCTAATGTTATCAAGATGCAGAGGCAGTAAAATGTGTTCATCTACAAATACAGATAACAGTTCGTGTGAATCTACAGGCGGCATCACTGCATCAAGACGGAAACTCATATAACACACTAACAAATAATTTCAAATACATGTAGTCGATCTAAAGAACATGATATTAATGAAGATAAGTGATATTGTGCTTGCAGACGTTGAAGGTCACTATTGTGTATGAATATGGCTTCTATAATGTTATAGGTTTTTGAAAGGCATTTAGAAGTGATACAATAAGGAAGATAATTTATGGATGTCAACTTCTTTATTATATGGAACACAACGTTTCGGAGTATATGCTTACTCCTTCATTCTGATGAAGGATTAAGCATATACTCCGTAACGTTGTGTTCCTCATAATAAAGAAGTTGACGTCCATAAATTATCTTTCTTATTATGTTGTAGTATAGATCTATGCATCAGTTATTCAAAATACATTCTGTCTGTGAAATGTATTTACCAAAAGTGAGCTAATGGCATAGTGTATCTGTATCTGTACGTATTTCTTAATTTTCAATACTTTTACAATTAAACACCTGTGTATGAGAATAATTTATGTGATAATATGCTCAACTGACCCAAGGATATTTTGGCATACTGAAAAGGACAGATCTTGAACTGAAGGAAATGTTTTTGAAACCTTGATGAAAGGTCTGACAACTTAGCTTTTGGCTTTGCATTTTATGTGCAGGTTTGGTAGTAACGTGATCAAATACAAACCTATAGCTACGATTAATGAAAAATACTGATTTTTAATATTCAGAAGAAAGTGTAACTATTATGTAACACTTGTCTCTGACCGCATGTCTTATTGAAATTAGCTTTTGTCAAAGACTTCAAGTATTAGAATGAAGTTCAATGCATTTATCTAAGACAGTCTTTTTGACACCTTTCAAACATTTGGCGTAGTCATTAGGTCCACTTTTTCCAAGTGAAAACTAAGAAAAAACACAGCCATTGGACACTCCTCATAACTTGGAAGATTTCAAAAGCTTTTCCTGATCTCAGTTGAGGCAATTGAGTTGAGGTAAATAGTGCTGTTATTATAGCTCACTCCTACGGGTATCAGTACTTATAAAGGATGTTTTTTCAGGCGGTGGCCAGATCAGCGGTGACGTGTTGGCGAAACTGTTGCGTAAGCGAGTGTCCATTACAGGAACCACACTCCGTGCTCGATCTCTAGAGGTAGGAAATGACAGGATGTGTAGGTTTGTGTGAAACAAGTATCTTGAAGTCCTTTCCTCCACAGTCAAACACTGACATACCTCTTCTCACCTCTGACAGTCAAACACTGACAGCCCTCTTCTCCCAAAGTTCTTTCCTCTGCAGTCAAACACTGACTGGTCTCCCCTCTGACAGTCAAACACCGACAGCCCTCTTCTCTCACAGTCCTTTCCTCTGACAGTCAAACACTGACTGGCCTCTCCTCTGACAGTCAAACACTGACAGCCCTCTTCTCTCACAGTCCTTTCCTCTGACAGTCAAACACTAACTGGCCTCTCCTCTTACAGTCAAACACCGACAGTCCATTTCTCTGATAGTCAAACACTGATAGCCCTCTCTTCTGACAGTAAATCACTGACATTCTACTTCTCTGACAGATCATGCCATCTTTGCATGACTCGCGTTATTAACATGCTTATGTATTTGCAGATTATTATTAAGGGTGGCACAAGTGGACGTGTGGTCTAAGGCTCCAAAATTTGATGAGTATACTCGTAGTTGCCTGCTTTAGTGATGCCAAGACCCGCTGAATGGGGGTTTGAATCCCCAAATACCGATTACCCTGTGCTTACTGTAAGAGCAGACTGGTGAGGTTCGGGTTGTTAAATGTTGAACTTGGCTGATAGTGTGTCATTGTCGACACATAACTTTGCTCTTGCTGTTAGTGCTTTGTCTGCCTGTGGGGATTCTGATAAAGAATTGGTCCAGGTGAGATGAGTTTGGGTTTAATGTCGCATTCAAGATTATTGCAGTTATACAGCGACTTGTACTAGTCCCGACTAATGCCCATTTTATAGTGCTGGAATTTCGCTATCAGTGGTTATTACTAGTTATATCCCTTCTATGTCCTTCCTAGTGACCAATTCACCTCTCACATCACGTGCATTTGCTCCAAACAAAATGGCGGCGCCCAGTCAAGACGATCTGAATGATATTCAAGATCGGTGTTGTAATGAAACGGGTCTTACTTCGCGATGTGCATCAAATCACGTGAGCACCTTGATTAGAAACATGAAAAGCTTTGGAAAATATCTGTTGACTCTGAGCTGGCGGTACACATGCTTTGCAAATCCTGCAATCGACCGAAAACTGCACAGCAGTTTACGAACCAGATGTCGATTTCGTTATGCGATTTTGATGGCATAGACTCATTAGTCTAGCCAAACTACAACTCCATAACTCCAGCTTAGTGCGGGAACATGCAGACTGCCGTGATATAGCTGAATTATTGCTAAGTGTTGAGTAGAGAGTGAGTGAGTTAAAATTTAAGGTCGCATCGGCATTATTTCAGCCATACAGCAAAGTGTTGTGTAAAGGGAAATTCACTCACTTACTCGTATTCCTGTTTTTCAGTACAAGACTAAGCTGGTTGGAAACTTCACAGAGAAGGTGCTTCCACACTTCAAGTCGGGCAGTGTGAAGCCTATTGTATTCACAACATTCCCACTGGAGAAGATCGGGGATGCCCACAAAATGATGGAGGAAAATAAAAATACAGGGAAGATTGTCATTGAGGTCATTCAAGATACAGATAAGAAAGATGAACTTTGATTGATCTCGGCCGACTGCTGTAGCAGGATAAAGTATTGGAGCAAATTCAATATTCGCATAAGAAAGATGAACTGTGATTGATCTCGGCCGACTGCTGTAGCAGGATAAAGTATTGGAGCAAGTTCTTAGAACAGATATGTACGCCATATATGGTATTGGAATGGTCTACCAATATATTGGCATGATATTCTGTCGACAATAATCAGAAAAGTAAACATTGTTGAGTGGAAGTAATATGCCATATGCTACTTGAAGGTCATGAATCTGTTACATGTCATGCTCTTTGATTTGTTGCAATGTTATGATCGATATTGCAAGGAATATATTCAGGAAGACATATATATTTTTTCATTGTGCATGTGTATAAGTACATGAATAAATTATATTTGTTAACTCGATTAATTGGCTATATACGAGATGAATTATGTGTCATTCACCAATATTAAAGCTGTGTGACGGCGGCCTTAAACAATTAAATCTGGACCAGGCAATCCAGTGATTGATATTGTCAGCTTCGACCCACGCCATCGGATATACGTGACATGCGACCGAAAACGTTACCGAGACTGAACACAATGGCTCCGTGACTAGTATAAGGAGTTACTGAGGTAACGTATGTACGTTGGAAAACTGAGCTGGGTGCCTTACTTGTATTACTATTATTTTAATAGTTGAGTGTTGACATTCATAAGAGGACAGTTTTACGGTAGGGAGATAGAGAATCTCACCCAAATCCTGAATTTTATCCCATCAGGAAATTCAAATTCTTTATATCCTTCGCAACAGTGTCCTCTGCAGGAATGGGTAAAAGAGTGAGTGACTGAGTTGGGTTTAACGCCGCTTTTAACAGTATTCCAGTTATATCGCGGGGTGCCAGCTTAATGTGGGAGGAAAGCCCGAAGTGATGCAGGTCTCAGACGTTTACCACTTCGATGAAACCCACGAGCACGGGTATGGTGCTGACAAACCTAGAAACATAATCGGGGCGAACCGGGATTCGAACCCACAATCATAGGTTTCTGGCGTGCCCAAGGGACGCAACTCTGCACAGCGAATCGCGGCGCCTTAGACGACTGGGCCAACCGTGCCCCCCAATGGGTAAAAGAAGAGAAATATTGACTCCTTCAGATAATGATAATACACTGCTTGGGTGAAGCATCGGGTGCGGGTGAGCTCCAATACACAGCTGATCCCGCTCTGTTGTAAACAAGGAAGCCTCGCTGGGTGAAGCATGGGGTGCGGGTGAGCTCCAATACACAGCTGATCCCGCTCTGTTGTAAACAAGGAAGCCTCGCTGGGTGAAGCATGGGGTGCGGGTGAGCTCCAATACACAGCTGATCCCGCTCTGTTGTAAACAAGGAAGCCTCGCTGGGAAACAGAGGAAGAAAGTTTTGATCAGCTGCCAAATTGTTTGGGTTGTTGATAAATGCCGAGTTAGAAAACTACGCGGAGGATACGACAACACACGCCGAGTTTTTCGTCACAGGATAATTTGCTTGTTTGAGATTTCAACGCACAGTGAAGCTAATGTAAATCTTGCACACTGAATGGTGCTGCGGGTTGTGTCGGATCTGAAGTAAAAGTTCAAGGGAAACCGACTCTATCGTTAAAAGTAATACTATGATAAAGATCACACTTCTGGGGCAGTCGGTTACTGGACGAGCTGAGTTCCTGACTTTCATCTATTTCATGTACCCTCTCAATATATGGGGGGCAGAGAGAAATAGAGGGGCAGATTCTTTTTCAAAAACAATTCAACCTCCAAAAGTGTTTTGCGCCTTTGGCGCGCGCGATAACCTCTTCGCCACGTCCTGTCCCGAATAGCTGCTCCTGCATATTGATATAACTGTCCCATATTATCTTTGTATGTCATCTTTTCACTGACAGTTTTGAAAGCACAAGCTGAAAACGTATGATGAATGCACATGAACACGTGTTTAGTCAGTTAGAGTGATACAAGGTCCCGGGACAGTATTATAGGGACGTCTCTTCATCTACACTGTCCCGGGACAGTATTATAGGGACGTCTCTTCATCTACACTGTCCCGGGACAGTATTATAGGGACGTCTCTTCATCTACACTGTCCCGGGACAGTATCTTATAAAAGTAGACAAATAACGAGTTCATGTGATAATGTAGTTCATTAATATAGGAATTATGAAACAATACTCAAACAAATAATTTTGTTTTTAATTCCATTTTTTTTTCTTTTTAACACACGCACACACCCCTCTATATCCGCTCCTGGCTTTTTCCTTTGTGTTGATAAAACATCAATGTTATATTTCCTTCCTTCCGTGTGTTCAGTCAGGGGGCACCCCTGCAATTCGCTGTACACAGTTTCGTTACCTCGGGCCGGAAACCTATGATCATCGAGTCCCAGATTCTCCCTGATTATGTTTCTACGTTTGTCAGGACCACACGCGGTCTTGTGGATGTCTACCAAAGTGCCGAACGTCTAAGACCTACATCACTTCGGGCTTGCCTCATACAAGCATCACCACTTGCATCACTTCGGGCTTTCCTCATACAAGCATCACTTCCTGCATCACTTAGGGCTTTCATCAAACAAGCATCACTTCCTGCATCACTTCGGGCTTTCCTCAACCAAGCATCACTTGCTGCATCACTTCGGTTTCCTCATACAAGCATCACTTGCTGCATCACTTCGGGTTTTCCTCAAACCAGCATCACTTCCTGCATCACTTCGGGCTTTCTTCAAACAAGCATTACTTCCTGCATCACTTCGGGTTTTCACGAAACAAGCATCACTTCCTGCATCACTTCAAGGTTTCCTTTTACAAGCATCACTTCCTGCATCACTTCGGGTTTTCATCAAACAAGCATCACTTCCTGCATCTCTTCGGGCTTTCCTCATACAAGCATCACTTGCTGCATCACTTCGGGTTTTCATCAAACAAGCATCACTTCCTGCATCACTTCGGGTTTTCTTCATACAAGCATCACTTCGGGCTTTCCTCAAACAAGCATCACTTCCTGCATCACTTCGGGCTTTCCTCATACAAGCATCACTTCCTGCATCACTTCGGACTTTCCTAATACCAGCATCACTTCCTGCATCACTTCGGGTTTTCATCAAACAAGCATCACTTCCTGCATCACTTCGGGTTTTCCTCATACAAGCATCACTTCCTGCATCACTTCGGGCTTTCCTCATACCAGCATCACTTCCTGCATTACTTCGGGTTTTCATCAAACAAGCATCACTTGCTGCATCACTTCGGGTTTTCCTCATACAAGCATCACTTCCTGCATCACTTCGGGCTTTCCTCATACAAGCATCACTTGCTGCATCACTTCGGGCTTTCCTCATACAAGCATCACTTCCTGCATCACTTCGGGTTTTCCTCATACCAGCATCACTTCCTGCATCACTTCGGGCTTTCCTCATACAAGCATCACTTCCTGCATCACTTCGGGTTTTCCTCATACAAGCATCACTTCCTGCATCACTTCGGGTTTTCCTCATACAAGCATCACTTCCTGCATCACTTCAGGCTTTCCTCATACAAGCATCACTTCCTGCATCACTTCGGGCTTTCCCCAAACAAGCATCACTTGCTGCATCATTTCGGGCTTTCCTCATACCAGCATCACTTCCTGCATCACTTCGGGTTTTCATCAAACAAGCATTACTTGCTGCATCAATTCGGGCTTTTCTCAAACAAGAATCACTTCCTGCATCACTTCGGGCTTTCCTTATACCAGCATCACTTCCTGCATCACTCCGGGTTTTCCTCATACAATCATCACTTGCTGCATCATTTCGGGCTTTCCTCATACCAGCATCACTTCCTGCATCACTTCGGGTTTTCCTCATACCAGCATCACTTCCTGCATCATTTCGGGCTTTCCTCATACCTGCATCACTTCCTGCATCACTTCGGGCTTTCCTTATACCAGTATCACTTCCTGCATCACTTCGGGTTTTCCTCATACAAGCATCACTTCCTGCATCACTTCGGGCTTTCCTTATACCAGCATCACTTCCTGCATCACTTCGGGTTTTCCTCATACAAGCATCACTTCCTGCATCACTTCGGGCTTTCCTCATACAAGCATCACTTCCTGTATCACTTCGGGCTTTCCTCATACCAGCATCACTTCCGGCTTTCCTCATACAAGCATCACTTCCTGCATCACTTCGGGCTTTCCTCATACCAGCATCACTTCCTGCATCACTTCGGGCTTCCCTCATACCAGCATCACTTCCTGCATCACTTCGGGTTTTCATCAAACAAGCATCACTTCCTGCATCACTTCGGGCTTTCCTCAAACAAGCATCATTTCCTGCATCACTTCTGGCTTTCCTCAAACAAGCATCACTTCCTGCATCACTTCGGGCTTTCCTCATACCAGCATCACTTCTGCATCACCTCGGGCTTTCCTCAAACAAGCATCACTTGCTGCATCACTTCAAGCTTTCCTCATACCAGCATCATTTCTTGCATCACTTCGGGCTTTCCTCTTACAAGCATCACTTCGGGCTTTCCTCATACAAGCATCACTTCCTGCATTACTTCGGGCTTTCCTTATACCAGCATCACTTCCTGCATCACTTCGGGTTTTCCTCATACAAGCATCACTTCCTGCATCACTTCGGGCTTTCCTTATACCAGCATCACTTTCTGCATCACTTCGGGTTTTCCTCATACGAGCATCACTTCCTGCATCACTTCGGGCTTTCCTCATACCAGCATCACTTCCTGCATCACTTCGGGCTTCCCTCATACCAGCATCACTTCCTGCATCACTTCGGGTTTTCATCAAACAA